CCTCTTAGAAGGCGCCGGCCCTACGTCTGCAGAGGAAGCCCGCGCCTTCTGAGAAGCAGGGGTGACTACCTGCCAGACCACCCCAACCCAACCCGAAGACCCGAATTTCGGGTTGGGGGGGGTAAGGGTTCCACGCGTGCTTTTTCGATGTTTCCCGACCCCCCCCCCAACTGGAAATCGAGGGTAAATCTGAGCCTTCGGGTTGGGTTGGGGTGGTTTGGTGGGTGGTCAAGGGGTGCTTCTAAGAAGAAGTCCTCCTCCCCTGCCCACGACCCCCCCGGCACGTGGCCGAGTGCACGCTGACCCCATGACCTGCCGGCCGACCCACCGCCCTCGGGCCGCTCGGGCCGCCCCGATCTGCCCTTTCGCCCCAGGGCGGCCAGGCGGCCACCCCTGCGCTGCCCGCCGCCGGCGCGTCCGCCGCTCGCCTCCCCCCCAGGGCGGGAGAAGGCAGAGGGCTGCTCGTCGTCGTCGAACTTCTCCTCCTCTTCCTTCTCCTCCTCCTCCTCCTCCTCCTCCTCCTCCTCACCACCACCACCACCACCACCACCACCATCATCACCACCACCACCACCACCACCACCACCACCACCACCATCATCATCATCATCATAATCATCATCATCATCATCATCATCATCATCATCATCATCATCATCATCATCATCATCATCATCATATTCATCTTCATCTTCATCTTCATCTTCATCTTCATCTTCATCTTCATCAGCATCAGCATCAGCATCAGCATCATCATCATCATCATCATCATCATCATCATCATCATCATCATCATCATCCGTGGTGATGCTCATCGCATGTGCAAAGGGTAAAAAGGCTGAAATCTGAAACGTCGCCGATGGGCTCGACTCAACTAATCCTCGTGGTCTTCCAATTCCTTATGAGAGGGGGACGTGTGATCCACTGGGAGGGGTGATCACTCCTCGTGGAGCAGGAGGACTCCTTCTCGTGGAGAAGGAGAAGGAGGAGGAGGAGGAAGAGGAGGAGGAGGCGGAGCGAACGTCCCCATGTGAGGACGGGGGGGGGATGAGATGAGTCCCCCACCTGCACCTCCGTGAGGGGCAGGACTCGGCAAGCTCTGCAGCAACGGCCGCCGCCGCCGCCGCCGTCGTCGTCGTCGTCGTCGTCGTCGTCGTCGCCGTCGTCGTCGTCGTCGTCGTCGTCGTCGTCGTCGTCGTCGTCGTCGTCGTCCGTCGTCGTCCGTCGTCCGTCGTCCGTCGTCCGTCGTCGTCCGTCGTCCGTCTAGCGTCTGTCGTCCGTCGTCGTTGTCCGTAGTCCGTCGCCCGTCATCGTCGGCGGCGTCGCGGTCTGGCCCTGTCTGTGGGTTGTAGGTCAGCGAGTCCGCGCTGCCAGAAGCAGCGCTCGGCCCCAGTCGCACCGCTCGCATAGGACGGGGCGGCAAAGAACGACGGTGGCGAGGACAGTGGCATGAGACGGAAGGGTAGAACGGAAGAGGCAGGAGCATGTGAGGATGATGCGTAAGGAAGGAAAGGAGCAGGAGGCAGAGATAAGGACGAGTCAGAGCGAGGAAGAGGAGGAGGGGGAGGAGGAGGAGGAGGAGGAGGAGGAGGAGGAGGAGGAGGAGGAGAAGGAGGAGAAGGAGGAGGAGGAGAAGGAGGAGGAGGAGGAGGAGGAGCAGTCAGGAGGATCAGAAGGGGGAGGACGAGGAGGCGTTTGGGGAGAGAGAGAGAGAAGCAAGGGCTGAAGCAGGGGCGTGGCCAGGCGACCCGCCGATGATTTCGCGAGCGGGCCTCGAGCCGAGCCGTCCGCCCGACCGACCCACAGAGCCTGCCCGAGCACGCCGAGAGCACGGGGGCTTGGCCGGTGGCCGCCTCCAGAGGGGGCAGGCGGCGCGCGCCTGTGGGCCCCCGCCCCCCAAACGAAGCCGCAGCCAGGACGAGGATTAGAGTCGAGGTCAGCGCCAACCCCTGGACAGCATGGGCCAAGTCAGCCCCAGCGGGCCGCACTACACCTCCTCCTCCTCCTCCTCCTCCTCCCCCCCTCCCTCCTCCTCCTCCTCCTCCTCCTCTCCTCATCATCATCATCATCCTCCTCCTCCCTCCTCCTCCCTCCTCCTCCTCCTCCTCCTCCTCCTCCTCTCCCATCCTCCTCCTCCTCCTCCTCCTCCTCCTCCTCCTCCTCCTGTCGATCCTTGCGCAGCCAAGCTCCTCCAGGCGAGAACACTGGGCGGCGGGCGACGGCGAGCGACGCGAAAAACGAGGCCAGGGCCAGCAGGCGCGCGACCGCACCGCTAAGGCCCCGACCGATGGAGGGGCACAGGCCGACCCACGAAGGATTTGGTGGACGGATCCTTCCCCTCCTTCAGCTGCTTTAGGGTCTTCTCCGCTGGCTTGTTGGGAGGCGCGCCAGGGCACGGACCTCCCAACAGGCACAGCTTGACAGACCCGAATGCAGCGCACGAATTACACCACACGACTCGGCCGCCACTAATCCAGAGCTTATGGCTGGCGTGGGCGAGCCTGGCCAGCCTGGGGAGGCCAGAGCACGGCAGTGCGCACACTGACGATTCTGAAAACCCCAAGGCGCCACAGTTCACACAACGGTAGGCCCCCTTCCCCTTAGTGCCCGTCCTGTGGACAGCGTGCCCCTTGAAATCACAGACCAAAACGAAAGGGTCATGCTTGGGGCGGGGAGGGGCCTTACATTTCTGGACGTCGGGGGAATTCTTCTTACTGCGCATCTCCCCGAAACACGCAATAAACCTACTGAAGTCTGCTACCTCCGAACTTCTTTGTCTCTGGGGGGCGGGGAGGCGAGGATTGCAAGGGTGATCCAGGGCTCCGCGCTTAGCAAGACCGTCAGCAATGCCGTTGCCTACCCAGGCCCAATAGGGGGCCTCCGAGGTCTCAAAACATCTACTCCAGGAAATGTGACTCTTAATTTTGTGCAGGCGGATCAGTTCTTGTCCTATATCCAGAACACGATCCCAGACGAGCTCCCAGACCTCCGAGAACGCCACCTCTGACATGTCCGACTCGGGCCCGCGGGCCCAGACGTCCAAGACGGCCTGGCAATCTGTGTAGATCTGGGTGCACTGCGAGGGCCCAATGAGCTTGAGGGCCATCAGCAAAGCATATCGTTCACCAGCTCCTGATTCCTGGACAGGATGAGGAAGGGGTCCAAACGCACTGCCCTCGCAACGACTGCTCTGATCCATGGCCACCACTGCCCAACCTGCACGAGCCGCATACAGGGAGGTCGTGTCAAAGCCTGAGCCGTCGATGCAGATCCTGCTGCCTAGGAAACCTGCTGCTGGCACTTTTTCCAACCGCCAAACCTCGGCTGTGGAAACCTTGGGCCAGTCATAACCTGGGTCAGCAATGAGCGCTCTCGTCGACAAGAAATCGTAGGCGCCCAGCTGCAAACCTCTGTCCACGCACTGCGGCAGGTCTAAGTCCCGCCTAAAAAGAAGGAAACCATCACACTGGTATAAGCGATGCTGTGGCGTGCCGTTATACATGCCGCAGACCCTGCACAGCGGCGTGATGGCTCGCCTGTCCTGAAACAAAACATCATGAGTGGGATGACCTCCTGCGACTACATTACACAGAAAGGAGGCAGCAGAGTTTCTCCCCGCTTTCCTGAAGCCTCTTAGGGTATCCATGATGGGCCCCAGGAGGGGAGGAACCACACGCTCAGGATCATCGGGATCAGGGACCCCAACATGCTCCAGGAGCCTCATATGTGTACTGTAGTCTATCAACTTAGTAAGGGCACGCTTCCCGAAGTGGTTGAGGCCCAGTAAGAAGCCACGGCAAGACCCCCAGGTGTCCCAAGCAATAAACCTCCAGCCCAGACGATCCAGGGTAGCCCACACCGCTCCAGCTGGCCCCCGAACCTTGTCCCAGGTCCTGGAAGCAACCGTTGGGTAGGCCTGCACGCAGGCCCTCATGATGTGCTCGGGGACCCATTTCTGTTTCACAGCCTGTTGCCACATCTTGAGCGGCAGGAGGTTGGCCTGGAACACAGGGTCCAAGCCCTTGGTAGGGCCCAACAAAAACTGCAGAGTCCTGGAACGGCCCCGTCCTTTGCCGAAAGATGCCTGACCTATGATAGAGCGCAGCTTCATGACCGTGGATGTGTTCATGCCTATGACCGCTGTGCCGTGCAAAGCTGCTGGCAATCCACCTGTCTTCACGACCTTGCACAAGCCCGAGTAGCCCGAGCGAAGGCCCCTAAATCGGCGAACTCGGGGCCCCAAACTCTCCCATCTCGATCCCTGGACTGGAGTTCGGCGCCGACCTGCAGCGTAGTCAACCCCAAGGTTACGCGCCGACTTGACCACTTGGAATTTCCAGCGCAAGAGTCGCGTTTTTCACCCGAACTTCAATATCCCGAGACGTCGCCGTGATCAGGCCTTTCGTGGGAGAGATCAGGAAACCAAGTTTCTCAAGATTGCTGCTCAGCGTAAAAGTAGCATCGGCCGCCGTTCTCGCCACCGCCCTAGCCTTACCTGTAGCACCACACGTAATATCATCGACTACATTGTAGATCCGAACCGACGGGAACTTCGAAACCACCTGGTCTAGCGGGTCGAGAAGGAGGCACTTTAGCAGGGTGGTGGCGAACGTACAACCTGCCAAGATCGCCTGGATGCAGGCGACAAACTCAGAGAATACCCTGCCCACCTGCAAGACCCTCTGGCCCCTGTACAAGCAGAGGAGGTAGCGCAGGCGGTACAAAGGAAAGCCGTGCGTGATGGCCGCCGAGGCCAAGAAGAAATGAACCACCTTCTCATAGCACTTGGTCATATCGACCAGGACAGACGCTGCAGAGTGCCCAAAAACGTACGCGTGCTCCACCCTAATAGCCTGCTCCCAAACAGCTCTTTCACACGAACGCCCCCTGCTTCCGAAATGGTAAGGCCTGTCATGGGCCCGCTCCCATCGATCAGCCTGTGCCCGGGAATATTTCCCAAAGCACCTGACGCTCCCAGACAAAATTCCGATTGGCCGAACTCCACCTTCCTCGTCCTTTGGGATCATGGCTATGATAATCGTGGCCAGGACCTCGGGGGGCTTGCCAAGAGACTCCATCCAAAACCAGAGAGCAGCCACGCACTCCAGGGCCCCGTCGCTGAGGATCTCGAAATCCCTGGGGTGTGTCCTATCAGCGCCTATCGCCGTCCTGGCCTTGAACTTCCTGGAGCACTTTCGGATCTGATCGGGCGTGGCCAAGACCATGGGCTCCTCGGAGGACTCGGAGATCTTCTCGGTGAGGAGGCTGATGGGATCAGGGAGGTCCTTCATGCTGGGCTTGGGGCTCCATATCCTAGCCCACTCTTCCATGAGGTCGTCGATGCGCCCCATGGGCCCCTTGGGGGGGGCCCTCCTTTCGGGTTCGATGGAACCCGCCCCAAGGGGACCTTGGTGAACCTATGGGCCAATCCAGCCCCATTGTCCAGACTTGCCTGGGCCCAAGATGTCCAGGCCTTGCCCCGATCCGATTGAAACTGCTTCTCAAGACGCTCTGCATTACGCTTGGCCTTGGCGCACAACTGCACGAGGCCACAGAAGTCGAGGCAAAACAGGTCCGTCTCGGAGACTGCGCACTCTTGCCAAAAAAGGGTCGGCACGGAGCGCTGCAGGCCCTTGTAGCACATGGAGAAAAAAACTGATCTGGTATCTGGTCGGTCCAAAGGCACTCCTTTCTTGACGAGATAGCTAAGCTCCTGAATGTGGATGGACCACTTCCTCCAAGCTCTCCCTTTGGCCGAAGACACAGGGTATGCACCGCCCGAGACTGAAACAGCTGGATCGATGTTGGTCTTCATTCCTTTGGCCCGACCGCGATACTTGTGCGCATCACTATTGTCAACGCCATGGATACCTATCATCTCATCCTCGAAAAGCTTGCAAAACCTAGCGTAGCCCCTGTCCAGAGCTGCCTGGTCGCCGCGCGCCTCGAACTGAGCTAAACATTCAGACCAATCTGGAGGTGGAGGTCGCGGACCGAGAGGGGCTTCACGAGGGAAAACCTTCGGACCTACAAGGACCCTGGTCTTGAGCTCTCTGGGGGCACCTGAGAGGTCCAGCGTGACGGGCCAGTGCGGGGCAGTAGTTCCACGTTTGTTAAGCGACGCCGCGTCGAACAAGGGCCCGAGCGACTTCGAGATGACGAAAAAGTCGCTGGTGGTCCAAGAGGTCGACGATTTACGACGCGTAGGCTCCGAAGTGTGGAAGATTGTGCCCCCAATCTTGTCCACCCAACCCGTGTCCGCTAGCAGCTTCGGCGATGTGTTGAAATCACCTCCTATAACGAAGGGTAGCTGCCAACCATGGAGCTCCTCGCCAAGTCTGTTGAGGATCTGGAAACTGCCGAGGCCCAGGGGGTCATCGCAATCGAGATAGAGGGAACGCACAGCGATACCTCCTGGCACAAACATGTCCAACCAAACTCCGCAGATTCGGTGTGGCTGAGGAAGAGGGCGGAGAAGCGGTAAGGATCCCATCCCGATGCGACTCCTGACAGCTATCCCCGTCCCACAACTGAGCCCTCCCTTGTCTGTGGTCCTGCTTGGGTGCACGAGAGCATTCCAACCTAACTGGCGAAGCTGGTGGGTACCCTCCCGATGATCATCTCCGAAAGCGAAATCCTGGAAAACGACAACCTGGCCGAATGACTCGGACTGCAAATAAGTCTTCAGAGATTTCCAAGAATATGAATTACAGGTGTCAATAGTCATGCAACGGCGGCCTGCTTTCACCGAAATACCAGCACTACAATCGCCAGGCAGGCCTTGACGAGCGTCAGCTGAGCCGACGTTGCCCCCATCACCAGGACGGAGACTCAACGGCACCTGCTGCGCGTCTGAGGCCTGCTGCGTCCTGCAAAACCCTACCACGCCCCCTGCGCGCGCTGTTTCCCTCGCCTCCTGTGGAGAGGGTGCCCAGGCTGAGGCATAGGTAGGTGGCGACTTTGAACCTGGGCACCCCAACGGGTCCCAGGATTTGCGTCATAACGCCATGCTCGTACACCCAGTCGAGGGAGTTGACGCAGCTCTGGTCCTTGGTGTAGTCGAAGATTGCGCCGCCCCCGCCGACGGCGACTGAACGCGATGACGGGGTTGAATATCAGGAAGACTGCCTGAGACACGCGCCGCTCCCGTCGACGGCGACTGCACACGATGACGGGATGACCCACTTCTTGAACCGGACGAGCCGTTTTTCATCACTGCATCGACCAAAACGCGGGGAGGAGGGTACTGGTACTCCCAAGGCAACGCCGAGGATGCTGAAGTCGCCCACGGACTGCTTGGCCAGTATGGGGCAATTTCGGGCTGCCCCCAACCCAGTGTGGAAGAGCACGCGGCAATCGCATCGGGAGGCAAGCCGCGCCCCGAACATGTGGCGCTCTCTGCCTGCCATCCTCGCTCCGATTCCCACCCCCAGGGTCCCACTTGGCGGTCCCAGCACCAAGATGACACTGGCCTACCAAGGGTTTCGTCTGAGGGGGGTCTCAGAGGTCTCATGGCAGGGGAGTCTAGCGACCATGAGCGAGTAGCCATCCACGAAGCCCAGGTGGCAATCGTAGAAGGAGGAGCCCACACGTCAAAGGCCTTGCCCAGAATCGCCAGCACTGGCAACCCCAGCCGCGACGCTGGACGCCTTGGCAAACTGCCGCTCCAAGTCGAACTGCTCCACGTCCACGGGCGCCGCGAAAGCCCCCGATGCCGCCGATGCCGAAGCCGATGCCAGGGCCTCCTGGGAAGGTGGCTGCGGAGGCCGCGGAGGCAGGCCTGCAGCGGCTGAGGAGGCCTCGCCAGGCGGGGGGGCTGCCGCTGAGGCAGCGGCCTGGGGCGGAGCGTGGCCCTCAGCCGCCCCCTCACTCTCGGCCTCCTCGCCAGTGCGGCGACGCTTGGCAGCCATTCTCTGGCGGAAAGCACGCTGCTCCTCCACCAACTCCTGCGCCCTCGTGCGGACCGCTCCGAAGGCGTCTGCGACTGCTTTCTTGATGACCTGCTCAACCTCTGCCTTGCGCTTCTCGACCTCCTCACGCTCCGACGACGATATCTCGATCCCCTCAGCTTCCAGACCGAACAATCCGTCATCTTCGAAGACCTCGAAGCCCTCGCCGTCCAACAGCTTGGACAGATGCAGGCCACGGGGAACAGGCCCCTGCGGCTCTGGCCGAGCTTGCGGGACGCCTGCAGCGAGCAGGGTGACCGCCTCGTGGTACTTGGCCTGGCACAGCTCGTAGTCCTGTAGGGCCAGCACCGCCTGCTTCTGGGCCTGCACGTACTGGTCGCGCAGAGAGTCGGCGGTCTTGACGCGCTTGTCCAGCTGCTGCTTGGCCTCCCGCATGGCGTGCTGGGCCGCTCCCACAGACGGCTGCTTGGGCTCAGATGCCCGCTGCAGCCTGTCGATGAGGCCCTGGTAGTACTTGACATTCTGGCCGTCCCCCAAGCTCTCGAAGGTGCGAAGCAAGCCCTGCACTTTGGGTATGTCCTCAACCTTGTACTTGGAGTCCCTGTCAGCACTCGTGCCAGCCATGGAGCCAGGCGGGACCCAGCCTGAGGCCTGGAGCTGGAGCCCCGCAGGAAGCACCTGTTGCAGGGGCGGCGGTGGGCCGAGATAGCCCTGCGGTCCCACCTGCTTCGGGCCTGGGAAAATGAACTGGTAGCCCTTGCCCCCCTTGGTCTCCCCCTTCTTGCCCTTGCCCTTGCCACCTCCTTTCGGTCCCTTGGCCGATTCGCCATGAGCTGGCAGTGAGCCCAGTGGCGGGAGCTCCGCCCACACGCCCTGGGCTGGCGCCTGGGCGGCTGGCTGCACGTAGGCGAGGGGCTGGAGGCAGTGCTTGCAGAACCAGAAGTGGGGAAGGTTCTTCTTGCAGCCACAGTGGGGACACGGCGATTTCGAGGATCCACTGCTGTCCTCGTCCTGCTTCTTGAAAGGGCCCACCCAAGTCCACTGCCGAGCACCGCCCTTTTCGTCACGCATACTAGGCTGGCCGCGACGAGAAGAGCCCATCGGAGTGTGACGGGTAGGCTACGCACGAAGAGAGTAATGGTAAGAACTTGCTCCAGCAGGAGCTCACAAAATCTGAAGCCAGAAACTGGCCGCAGGATCACTGGCGGGGGCGCGCCTCCCCCACGCCAAAAAGGCCTCGGTCCCTGAGCGAAGCGCTACGGACTTGAGCCAAAATGGCTACGGACCTCCTCCTCCTCCTCCTCCTCCTCCTCCTCCTCCTCCTCCTCCTCCTCCTCCTCGGGGTCAGCGGAGGGAGGGAAGGGGTATTCTCGGACCCGCGAGGCTCACAGACCCGGGTCGGCCACAGAGGGCTGGCTGACCTCCGCAAGACGCAGCTAGGACGAAGATACAATGGGGTGAGGATAAATCGAGAATCTCTGAAATCCGGCGGCTCTGGGAGATGACTCAGGCGCAGCGGCCTCCTCAGGGCGTTCCGGAGCGCTCTGAGAGCGTTCCGGAACGTTCAGGAACGGATGTATCCTCGTCCTAGCCCCGCCCGACCCCACCCGACGGTCCTGGGGCGCTTCTCGGCGGCGCCGAGGTCTGGCCCAGCGCTCTCTCTGTGCACCTCGCGCCACGGCGGCCGGGCGCGCCGTCGCGGTGGTGCGAAGGGGCGCGGTCGTGCGAGGCACAGCGGCAAGGGCAGCAGCAGCAGCAGCAGCAGCGGCGGCAGCGATGTTGATCCTCAGTGCTTGGACTCTTTTCTCCTCCGCCTCCTCCTCCTCCTCCTCCTCCTCCTCCTCCTCCTCCTCCCTCCCCCTCCTCGACTTCGCGGCGGCAGAGGCGGGAGAGGGGCAGGGCCAGGCGTAGGGAGGAGGGGGCAGGAGCGGAGCCAGCTGCCGCAGCAGCACCCAGCGGCAGGAGCGGGAGGAGGAGGGGGGGGGGGGGCAGCAGGGGCGGCTGGAGCAGGCAGCAGGCTCCGCGCCGTGGTGCTGCGCGCCCCCTCCGCCTGCTGCGGATCGTGCCCCGCCTCCCGCCCCACCCAGGAGAGGCCCCAGAGGCAGCCCCGAGGGCCCCTGCATCACGCAGGGGAGGCCTCACAGCGCGGCCCCACGCGTGCCGACGCTCGCGCTCGGCCCAGGAAGCCCCTGAAAGCCCTCGTGCCCCCACGGTCAGGAAACTTCCGCCCGAGCACTGTCGCCCGGGAGCTCGCCGCAACTCCTGCGCTGCGGGCTTCAATCACGGAATCGAGCTTGGCACTCCTGCCATCTGCAAGACGGCATCGCGCAGCTGGTGTACACAGGACACGTGGCTAGAGTCGAGCGACAAAACCTCCTGGCGCCGTGAATAGCAAAGGAAACTTACCACGCCGCTGGAAGTTGGAACCGAGCAACAAGGGGGCACAACTTCACTCAAGGAGCTCTGGATGCGATCCTTCCCCCCATGAACTCTTCAGCGGGACTGGCATGTCATCCTGCGAGTGTTTCCAGGCACATCGGCAAGCCTCAACTATAGGGGCCCGCTAGACCGCACGTGCGCATCCACGCGCGAGGGCACACATGCCAGCATTCGGCGGCGAGCGAGGGGGGGGACTGAGAAGGAGAACGCCTCCTCAGAAGGCGGCGGGGCTTTCAGAAAGTTTCTGGCCATCTGAGAGGCTTCCTGTGCCTCCGGGGAAGACTCAGAAACCTTCTCGGAAAGCCCGGGGACTTCCGGGCCTTCTGAGAAGGCCCGCCCCTCCTCGCCTCCCCCCGGGCTCGCCGCCGACGCATGTACATGCATGCGTTAGGTCGGGCATGTCCTCCTACGAGCGGACTGTGGACGAAAACTTGAAAGTAGTCTGAAAATCCGCCGATCCGACGTGTGGGTTTCCAAGACCCTCGGATATAGCCTGAGCCTCAGCTCTCTTGAGCTTCAGCTCTGCTGTGGGGGTGGGTGACCGGGTGGCTCTGCCGGGGTACGGGGGGGAGAGGGGGGGTGGTGGTTCCGAGTCGTGTTTGGTGGCAAAATCGGGGCTCCAGC